ATTTTTTTGGTTTTTCTCCGGTACTGGGAACCGAACTCACGACCTTGCGCTTGCCAGGCAGGCGCTTTTTGCCGCTGAGCTAAATCCCCAGCCCCCTTACCCACTTTATATAAAGACTCTATTAAATGTCATTCATGCTGGGTGTTGTACATGCCATAATCCCAGCACTCGGGAGGCTGATGCAGGAGGATCCCTGGGAGTTTAAGGCCAGCCTGGGCTACAAAGTCAGTTGAAGACCAGCCTGAGCTATATAGTGAGACCGTCTAAAAATTTTTTTTTTTCTCCATCGTGGAGAGTTGGTACATGTACTTAACAGATCTTAATTCTTTTTACTTTTTCTCTTCTCTCTTACCCTTCCCTCTTCATCTCTTAGTCTCTCAAAATTTAAAAGGAGCTGGGGCAGGGAGGGTTTGGAGAATTCTATATAATTTAGAGTTTTCTGGGTTCAGTTCTTAGTACTAAAATGGGGAGAAGAGACCTGTTAAAAGCCATGTGTGATGTCCAGTGCTTAACTGTACAACAGTTAAGCCTGTACAACATCATGAGATCCCCCCATCTCAAAAAAAAAAAAAAGACCTTGTCAAAAGTTTGTTGCTGGCCTGGGTGTGGTGGCACACAGCTAATCCCAGTACCCAGTTGGCTGAGGCAGAAGAATTGCTGGGAGCTCAAGTCCAGCCTGAACTATATAGTGAGATCTTGTCACTAAATAAGTAGAAGGGCCGGGGATATAGCTCAGAGGCATAAGTGCCTCCCTGGCAACTCAAGGTCCTGAGTTTGATTCCCAGTACCAAATAGACAGACAGACAGACAGATAGACAGATAGATAGATAGATAGAAAATTCTCAAATAAAATAGAATAGATAAGGATATCCTTGCTTAACTCATTGAAGATAATTGCTGCTGTTTTTCTGCCTATCTATTTTTGCTTTGGTTTTTGTTTTTGAGACAAAGTCTCTCTACATAGCCCAGGCTGGTCTCAAACTCGCTGTGATCCTGTTGCCTTGCATCAGAGGGCTGGTATGTGCCCCACACCCAGTACCAGATGTTGTTTTATAGTTGGGTGGTTTGAGCCAAACTCATTCAGCATTACTCTTTCAGCTCCTTAATGCAGAGCAGTCCCTCCTGTCCTCTTCTTTCACTTGTTTTTTCTTTTTCTTTTTTTTCTTTGTCTTTTTGAGACAGGGTCTCACTATGCAGTTCAGGCTGGTCTTGAGCTCGCTTTGTAGCCCAGGCCGGTCTTAAACTTGCAAAGATCTTCCTGCCTCAGCCTCCTGAGTGCTGGGATTACAGGCATGCACCACCACGCCTGGCATTCACTTGTTTTCAAGGCATTTGATGCTCACAAAACTTGGTATGGTGTCTGGTAGAATGCCTCACCTTCTGGGTTTTACCAGATTTGTTTTCTCTGGGGTGTCTTTTGCATTGTTCCCCTACCCCCAGTGTGTTGTTGGTTTTTTGTTGTTGTTGTTTGTTTGTTTGTTTTCCCAGTGTGTTTTTTGAACTGGAAATGTTTGATCACATTTGGGTTAAAAGCAGCTTTTTGCACAAGTGAGTTTGGTTTCCTGTCAGACTCCGACGGACATACAGCAGAAGCAAGGGTCAGGCTTTTGCCCAGGAAGAGCAAGAGTGGCCTTGGGGGATATGGGGTATAGGAAGGACAGAGAAATGGGGCTGAGGATTTAGCTCAGTGGCACAGCGCCTGCCTGGCAAGTGCAAGGTCGTGAGTTCGATTCCCGGTACCAGAAAAAAAACAAAAAAACCACAAACAAACAAAAAAGGAAGGACAGAGAAGCTCCTCCATGCTGTTGTTTACATGGCTGGTTTTTGGGGGACCTGCTGAGTGCCTAGAATGCTAGCAGGGCTCACCTGTCTGTGGTGAAACTCCAACCACTGAATTGTAGTGGAAATGGTCCTTTTTTTTTTTTTTTTTTTTTTTTTTTTTAAACCAGTGCCAAATTCTAGTCAAGAAAGCAAAAGTAGGGGCTGGGGATTTAGCTCAGCAGCACAGCGCCTTTCTGGCAAGCGCAAGGTTGTGAGTTCAATCCCAAGTACGGGGGGTGGGGTGGGGGGGAACAAAAACAAAAGGAAAGTAAAAATAAAGAGTGAGGACGTAGCCCCACTTGGTGGCAGACCTGTAATCCCAGCGCTCAGGAGGCTGAGGCAGGAGGATCATTGCAAGTTCGAGACCAGCCTGGGCTACAAAGTGAGCTCAAGGCCAGCCTGAACAGCATAGCGAGACCCTGTCTCAAAAAAGACAAAAAAGAAAACAAAAAAAGAGTGAGGGTGTAGTGGCACATGCCTATAATCCCATCTCTTGGGAGGCTGAGGCAGGATGATTGCTGTGAGTTCAAGGCCAGCCTGGTTTACATAGTGAGTTCAGGACCAGCCTGAACTATATAGCAAGACCTTGTCTCAAAAAAAAAAAAAAGAAAGAAAGAAAGAAAGAAAAAAACAAAACAAGAAAAAGAATAGGAGAGAAACTGGCTTGGCAGAGCAGCCTTAGAGTGAGTAAATAGAAAAAGAGGATAAGAGCAAAGGTAAAAGTGCATCCTGAGCCGGGCGTGGTGGCGCACATCTGTAATCCCAGCACTTCGGGGGCTGAGGCAGGAAGATCGTTGCAGGTTCAAGACCAGCCTGGGCTAGAAAGCGAGCTCAAGGCCAGCCTGAACTGCATATCTTTTTTTTTTTTTTTTTTTTGTCTTTTTGAGACAGGGTCTCGTTATGCAGTTCAGGCTGGCCTTGAGCTCACTTTGTAGCTCAGGCTGGTCTCAAACTGGCAATGATCCTCCTGCCTCAGCCTCCCGAGTGCTGGGATTACAGGCGTGGGCCACCACTCCCGGCTTGAACTGCATATCGAGACCCTGTCTCAAAAAAAAAAAAAAAAAAAAAAGACCAAAAAAAAAAGAAAAGTACATCCTGTACCTGGGAAACAGCGTGGGCTCTTCTGGAGAGCTACAATAGCCAGTACAAATGTTCTTATTCTAGGTTTAAGTTATACATGTTTCCTGGCTAAAAAAGAAATCTCATCACCCAGGAGTCAATCCATTTTTTTTTTTTTTTTTTTGTCTTTTCGAGACAGGGTCTTGGTATGCAGTTCGGGCTGGCCTTGAGCTTACTTTGTAGCCCAAGCTGGTTTTGAACTCACAAAGATCCTCCTGCCTCAGCTTCCCGAGTGCTGGGATTACAGGCGTGCACCACTCCGGCCAGCCTGAGTTGATCCATTTTTGATTAGGGTGGGTTTTTTTGTTTTGTTTTTTTGTGAATTTTAGAGTCTTTGTAGTTTAGGCTGGTCTCAAACTCACAGCAATTCTCCTACTTCAGTATCCCAAGTGCTGGGATTAGAGGCATGCACCACTACATCTGGCTTGATTAGGGGTTATTTTTGCTTGTTTTGTTTTGTTTTCTTTTGTGGTACTGGGAATTGAACCCAGCACCTTCACACTGAACTACATCCCCAGCCCTTTTTGATTTTTTTATTTTGGGACAAAGTCTTGCCAAGTCACTAAGTTCCCCAGGCTGACTTCAGACTTGTGATAGTCCTGCCTCTGCCTCCTGGAATGCTGGGATTACAAGTATATGCCACCCATACCCTGCTTTTTTTTTTTTTTTTTTTTTTTTTTTTTTTTGTCTTTTTGACACAGAGTCTCGCTGGTACCGGGAAATGAACTCATGACCTTGTGCTCGCCAGGCAGGCGCAGTGCCGCTGAGCTAAATCCCCAGCCCTGCTTTTGGTTTTCTTTAACCCTTTTGAAATCACTCTTAAGGGGCTGGGGATTTAGCTCAGCAGCACAGCGCCTGCCGGGCAAGCATGAGGTCGTGAGTTTGGTTCCCGGGAAAAACAACAACAGCAACAAAAAAAATCATTCTTAAAGTGCAGGAAGACCATGGGAGCCTCAGGGTAAGCACTTTAGTTTCTAGAGCAACAGGCTGTTAACTTTTTATACAATCCTCAAAAGCATTTCAGCAACTCCTGCCCTCTTCCATCCTTACCCTCAGGCTTGGCATGGGCTGCTGAGCATTCAGACTAGAGACAGCTTTGTGGTCCCCCAGGCTACCTGCCCCTGCCTGACTGCAATGGTGGCAGAACCACAGGGCCTACAGAGCCCAGCCTGACCAGGCAGGCAACCTGGGTCTAGACAAGATCTCCCATGGGGTAAACACTCAGCATCTTACACTCATGCAGTGTGTTCAGGTCCTGTGAAAATGGGGCCTGTAGACTGCAAAGAACAGGGAATTTAGACCAATTCTTGGACTCACTGGCTAAGTTTGGGCAAGCCAGTTTTAATGTACAGTGTGTTTGATGGATCTGATGTGCGTTCTGGATAGGCTAGTTAAATAGTACTAGGTTTCTCTTGCTAAAATTGAGCTCCTCTGAACGATCAGGAGTGACTAAGGCTGTAATAAATCTCCACATCCCAGAGAGCTTTGTGGTCCCTGGGTCCCACCCTCCTGCCCTTGATGAAGTCAGATACCTTGCTATTCAGGTGACATCTGCCAGTCTGGTTGAGAGGCATTTTAATTAAAAAATAATTTCATCAAGATACTAGCAAGTCCTTGTATGACTCATGCTGCACATTCACAGTCATCAGATGCCTCAGGCAAGCTGCTTGCAGGGACCACTGGAACAGGGCAGCGCTTCCTCCCAGGTGGGGCCAGCAGCAGGTGCTTGCAAGGGCCCCAGGGAAGGGGATCTCAGAGGGGCTTGGGAGCAGGTGCAGTATAGGGCAGGTGCCACAGGACAACATGGAAGTAACAAGATCGAACACCCAGAGCAGGATCAGGGCCCTGGCTGTGCTTTTGGAACTAGCTGTTCCACAGGGTCTCTGGGACACAGAGGCACTTGTCTCTTCTGATCACACTGAGGTGTCCCTCTCTGCACTAGGCCCTCTGCTGTGGAGGAAGTATGGCCAGGCCTTTGGGGTGGGTAACTGCAGCTTGTGTCCAGCGTTGGAGGGGGCCAGCATGGAGGTGGAAGATAGCAGTACCTTGCTGCTGGTGGATCTCATGGGAGCTGGCTTGCAGATGCCATGGTATCCCTGAAGCCTCGTAGTAGACTGGATCTGTGATATCCAGGGAATGAATTTTTTAGGTCCCTGGGTCCCACCCTCCTGCCCTTGATGAAGTCAGATACCTTGCTATTCAGGTGACATCTGCCAGGGACTTCAACTATGAGCATTACCTTCTTGCTGTCAGGGTTTAAGTGTCCACAGACGACCCTGCCACTTGGGCACGGGGGGACCAAGCCAGAGTCCCACTCTGCAGTGCTTTTCTGGCAGCCTGAGAGGTTCTGGCTAGGGTGGAGCCACAGCCTGATCCCATGGATCCCTGTCTGTGTTGTCGAATGCTCTGTGTGGCCTGCTGAGCCCTCCTAACACTACCGTCCCACAGGTAAGGTGCCCGGCGACGACTGCCCCCTGGTGTGGGGCCAGTGCTCCCACTGCTTCCACATGCACTGCATCCTCAAGTGGCTCAACGCACAGCAGGTGCAGCAGCACTGCCCCATGTGCCGCCAGGAGTGGAAGTTCAAGGAGTGAGGACCTCCCCTCCCCCAGATGGTTCCTTCAGGGCCCCTCCGCACCGAATCTGTACTGGTGACAGTCCCCTTGGGCTGTGACAGGGTTGAACAGAGGACTGGAGCCTCCTTCCTTCTTTTCCACCACAATGCTGACACTTTTATCCAATAAGTAAAGCTCATTAAAACACCCAAATATTGCTGCAGGCTTCTGGTTGTCTGTATTTTTGACATACTGATGCGGCTGTGGTGTGTTTTGATATGAAAACACTCATGAATAAACATCCCGATGAGGCCCTCATCAGAACGTGAGTCATCAGTCGGGCAGAAGGAGCCCGGATCAGAAGGAAGAACCTGGGGCAGGGCCCAGGGTATGTTTACACTGGTGGAGGAGGAATGGGGAGGCCAGGCTGGGGCCCTAGGACCCTCCTTCAGATCATGGCTGAACACAGCTGGCAGCAGTTCATCATAAGTCTCCAGGCAAAAGGAAGACGTCCCCGAGCAGGGTCTCCTCACCCCCAGAGGGGCTGCAGAGACCACTGTGACAGTCTGTTCTCCCAGTCCCTTATACCTTGCTTGGCCTGCAGGCTAGCTGCAGTATATAATGTGCACCCAAATGTGCTGACACAAGTGACCTGCAGACCCTGCCCCTCCCAGCTGCTGCCTGGTCTGTCCTCAGGATTGCAGGACAGGTGAGTGAGTACAGAGGCGGCTCACACTGGCACAGCATTGAGCCATGGGGTTAGAGAACGGATAGGGGGGCTCCTGTAACAGCCCACAGCTCCAGCTGGCCACTGATCCAGGCTCCAGGGCTGCATTGCTGCTCCCCAGGCTTTGCCAGCCCCCAGTTGTGGGGAAGAGAGGAGCCTCCCAAGGAGTATCTATCTCTCCCTAGGACACCTGGGACTGGCACCAGCCCTTGGGAGTCAGGAAGGTGCGCAGTTTAGGAGGAGAAATGGGTATGATTTGAGTTTGGGGCTCCCTAGGGGCTGCAGAGAGATTTGTGGCTTTGGATTTTCCCAGGTTCACTGGGATCAGGTTTGCCCCAAAGTCCAGGCCTAATTCTGACCTGTCTCCTGCTGGCCTGCCCTCCACTCTTCTGGGAACCTTCTCTTGGGAATGTGCTTTTCTACATCTTTGTCTTCTCAAAAGTGGCTTCTCATGGGACAGGAAATGCCCACGATGGTTCAGCTTTCTCAGGCCCACCTTTTGTTTTGTTTTTTGAGTCAGGCTCTTGCTTTGTAGTCCAGGGTGGCCTTGAACTCAATCCTCCTACCTGAGCCTCCTGAGTGCTGGGATTACAGGCGTGTACTACCATGCCCAGCCTCAGGCTCACTTCTTACCCTTTCCAGCCACAAAGCCTGCCTCCTTGCTTCCCTGCCACTTGGGCCCTTCCCATTTGATATCCCTGGACTTCAGGTCAGTCCTTTTCTCAGGGCCAGCCACACTCCCTCTCCTCACCTGCCAGACCCCAGCCACACCAAGTCTCTCTGGAGGTCACAAGCCCAGGTCTCATGTAGGCATGTGCACATCCTTTTTTTTTTCCCCTTTGGTACCATGAGTCTCACTCAGGACCTTGGCATTTGCCAGGCAGGCACTGTGCTGCTGAGCTATATCCCCAGCCCTACAACATCCTTCTTGATTCCTGCCCTTTTCTGCTGTTCTATCTGCCTTTTCCCAGGAAGCTGGGACCCCTGTAAGATTTTCATCAAACCCCATAACCTCTGCCCAGCAGGCAGACACAAGCTTCTTGCAGAGGGTTACCCCACCAGCAGGTTCCTTTTATCTCCCTGGGGACACCCCTTCACTGCCCCTGCCACTGGCCATATTTAGAGCCTGGGCTGTGACACACAGTAGGTGCTCAAAGCCTGACCTTGCCCTGGGCTTGTCTCCATCCACATCGAGTGTTTGCTGACTGGGCACAGAGCTTGTGGGCCACCCATGCCTCTGCCTGAATTCCCTTGGTCTGGTTCTCCTATCTTGAGGGCTGGCTTTGCTGGTTTCCTAGGGGAACTGGCCAGTAGTAAAACCTGCCATGGGCACAAAACAGCTGATGGGTCCCATCCCCACCATGGACTTCTTGATGCCTCTGGCCTAGAACCCTTGGGCCTGGGGTCAGTTCCTCTTCAGGGCACCCTTGTGCCTCCTGAGCACTGTGCAGCCTGTGGCTTACTCCACAGCTGCAGGAGCACTGGAGACAGTGTGCAGTGCCATTGGGTGTCGGTGACAATTTAGTGCTGCCAAGCCAGCCCAGCTGGACCAGACAGGCTAGGGGCCTGGGAGGGTCTGTGTGCTTGAGCACGAAGCGGTGGTCCCAACCAGCGCTGCCTCTGCGCTTCCTGTGCGCGGAGCTGACAGTCCTCCTTGCGTAGGCACTGCACCTCGCCCCCCCTCGTGGCCCCGCCCCCATGGCGCTGAGGCTATAAGGCGTGGAGGGCGGCTCAACCTCGACGACGCCCTTGCCTCCCGATGGCCCGGTGCACGAAGCTGGTGATGGGCGCCCTGGCTCTGTGCCTGCTGCTAGGGCCTCCCAGCCTCGCATGGTACAAGCCGTCGGCAGGGTTCCGCTACTACTCAGTGGGCCGTGCGGCAGGGCTGCTGTCAGGCTTCCGCGGGGCTCAGTCTGCACGGCGCTCCGAACCTGTAGATGGCTTAGTATTCCCACGCTCACGCCGAGCCGCCGCCTCCGGGGAGCTGCGCCCGGGCCTGCAGACCCTTGCGAGTGTGCGCGGGTGGCCCCCCACGGCCATGTGCATCCAGGACGTCGCCCCACACCTACAAAACTGCGAGCAGCTCCGCGATGACCGCGGGACCTTCCAATGCACCGCCAACGTCTTCCTGTCGCTGAGCACCGCAGACTGCCGCCGCGCCTGAGCCTCAGACCCCAAGCCCTCACCCAGCTTGCCCCGGTGGGTGCCCGATGCCCACTGGCCCGCTCGTGGACCCCCAGGCCCTGCCGCGGAGAATGGCACCCTGCACCCTCCTACCCGCCCCCGACCCCTGTGGTTAAGTGGATAAAGGAGAAGCAGAGCTGGTCTTGAGTGAGTTGCTGAACAGGGTGATGGGGCTTGGTCGGGGACAGGGGCTAGACAAATGCAGCCTCCTGGGTGCCTGGACCTGCAAGGCGGACCCTCCGCTCCTATCCTCCAGGAGCACAACTTCCTCTGTCCAGGATGACTGGTTGGGCCTTTCCCAGCCTCCTTCCTCCACAAAGCCAAAAGGGGGTCAGAACCCCAGATGCTGCACTGGGAGGGGCTCAGCTCAGAAGTCCTTCTCCCTGGGTAACTGCTTCCAGGCGCCACGCATGACTTCTGCCATGCTATTCCTAAACCCCTCACATAGGATCTCCAGAGCCACCACTGTGACCTGGCCCTCACAGCTTCCTAACAGCTAGAGCTTCTGGGTCCCCTCAGTAGCTGCCTGGGTTCTACTTTGCCCCTAATGACACCCGACTTCCAGTCCCATCCCTGGGTTCCACCCCTTAGAAGCCTCCCCCAAGCACCTTTGTGTAGAGTACAGAGCCACTGTGTGTAGTGAATGAGTGACCAGGACAAGGGCTTCCAGGCTGGGCCAGGCACCAGGGGCAGCCAGATGTGCAGATTAGGATGAGGGAAGGACTGGCACCATGGTGACCTGGGCTCCCCAGTGGGCCCAAGCCTGGCTCAGCCTTCTCCCAAACCTGGTAGCACTGCCCCCACCCCATTGAAGGGTTCTGGAGTCTGTGTCTCAAAGCCAGTCAGCAGAGACAGGACCTGGGGCCTCTGGCCCCCGCCCCCCATCCCTTCTGCCCAGGCTGAGACCAAGGGTGGAAGCTCAGGCAAGAATTGAGTGGGAGTTTGAGGTTCAGAGCCTGCCCTGCAGGATGTCTTCATCCTCTACCAGGGGGCCATGGGTGGGTGGTCTCATACTGCTTGTATGGATGTGGCATGACTCCTGGTCCTGTGTTCTACATGCCGCTGTAGTCCCCAGAGCCTGGGCCCAGGAGCAGCATGTGTGGGCACCAGCAGTGCCAAAGCTGGGCCTCTACCCTCTCCAGCCTGCAGCCAGGCAGCCACTGTGCCCCTGCCACTGGTGTCTATGGGGATTGGTGACGCCCTTGCTCCTGAACTTGGGGGCCCAAAGGGGAGAGGGTGAGGAAAGAAAAAATGAGAGCAGGTGGTGGCTGCCCAATAGGGTGTGTGAGAATAAACCTTACCTTGGGTTCCTACACTGAACCATGAGGCTGACTTCAAAAATAGCTAAAGCGGGGGCTGGGGGTTTAGCTCAGTGGCACAGCACCTGCCTGGCAAGCGCAAGGTCGTGAGTTTGATTCCCAGTACGGGAAAAAACCAACCCCCCCACCCCCCACCCCCCACAAAAAAAATGCAACA